CCGGGCTGGGGAGTCGGGGGTCTCGGCCTTCCGGCCTCGACCTCGGCCCTCAGCCCGCTGAGCAGCCGGGCTGGCCGCGGGAGCCACGGGCGCCGGCGACACTGGACACGGGCGGACACTGCGAGTGGTAAGTGGCCAGACGCCCCCCTCCGAGGACTTGGGGTTCATGCTGGCTGGTAAGTGGCCAGACGCCCCCCTCCGAGGACTTGGGGTTCATGCTGGCTGGTAAGTGGCCAGACGCCCCCCTCTGTGGACTCGGGGTTCACCGCTGGCTGGTAGGTGGCCAGACGCCCCCCTCTGTGGACTCGGGGTTCACCGCTGGCTCAGTGTCCGGCCTGTCCTGTGACGTGCGGGGTCTCGGGCCTGCGTGGCGCACCCACCTTAAACACCACCTTATGCGAGTCGCACACCGCGTTCCACTTGCTCCAGCTGAAGGCGAAGGCCGGGCTCAGCAGGGCGATCTGTCGGTAGGCCTTGACCTCCACCAGGGCCACCTGCGGACAGGACACAGCACACACCCCGAAGGGCCCCCTGAGTCCCCTCCACCGTGGCCCCCGTGAGCTATTCTCACACGAGGACCCATTTGCTCATTCAGTTGTTGTTGTTGGTCGTGGGGCCTGAACTCAGGGCCTGGGCACTGTCTCTGCACTCTTCAGCTCAAGGCTGGTGCTCTACCACTTGAGCCACAGCACCACTTCTGGTTTTCTGGTGGTTTATTGGAGATCAGAGTCTCACGGACTTTCCTGCCCAGGCTGGCCTCATCTCTGATTCTCAGAGTGCAGCCTCCTGAGTGGCTGAGATTACAGGCAGGAGCCAGGGGCGCCTCACTGGTTTTATATGTGTGTGTATATGTTTGTTTTAGCCTATGCATTTATGTGCACACTGGTGGCTATATAATTATCCCCATTAAGAGAATGCACAGGTTTATTTACCCTTTTCAGACACCTTCTGCCAGGCCTGGTGGCTCAGGCCTGCAATCCTAGCTACCCAGCAAGGTAGAAGCCAGCCTGGGCAGGAAAGTCTGTGAGCTGCTCCCCTCCCCTCCCAGCTGTGGCTCAAGTGATAGAGCACTAGCCTTGAGCAAAAACACCCAGGGACAGTGTCCAAGCCCTGAGTTCAAGCCCCAGGACTGGCACCCGAAAGGAAAGAAGGGAGGGAGGGAGGGAAAGAGAAAGAGAGAGACAGGAAGGAAGGAAGGAAAGGAAAGAAAAAGAAAATAAACCTTCCACCCATCTAGCCACACAAAAGGAAAGAAATGATACAAAATGAGGATCTCAGGACATTTTTGCATTAAGCTTGCTCCTTTGGTGAATATGAAGACCATACGTATGTATACTGGTTTAGTGCCATTCAGCTGAGTGAACTCTGAATTTCTGTTCTTCTTGCTTATTCTTTCCTTCCTTCCCAAATATAACCCACATAGAACTCACGATATCAAACAGGTGCGACACCAGCTTGTCATCCAAGGCTTGTAGAGTGAGAGGAGGACAGTTCAAAGCCAGCCTGGACAGAAAGGTCCCCAAGACTCCATCTCCAAGACAACTAGCAAAAAGCCAGCCCGGAGGCATGGCTCAGGTGGAAGAACACCAGCCTACCACGCCAAACAAGCACAAGGCTCTGATTTCAAATCCCAGTACTGTTAAAAACAAACAAACAAGACCTACAAACCATGGTATAGCTAAAGGCAACAAAGTTCAGTGCCTGCCTGCACGCTGAATGTTCTAATAAGTTAGAGAGATTCGCGCTTGCCTTATTGTTGATAATCACGTATAGATGAGAGTATTGGGTCGGGAAGATATTCAGCCCAACTTCTTTCAGCGCAGTAATGAAGGGGATCAGAGCCAGCCATTTGCCCTTCAGGTTGGAAACTGGCCTTTGGTCTTTCAGCTTGACTGAAGATAGCATACAGAGGTTTTCCTAAGTTTAAACGAGAAAAAAAAAAAAAGCAGCTTTAATTTTAAAAACCTTCAATGATAGCTGTGCTACTGCTCCAGGCTCGGCTTCGGAATAGTTATTATTATTGCTGCTATTTTATTTCTTTTGTTTTTTGGTTGGTCGTGGGGCTTGAATTCTGGGCCTGGGCGCTGTCCCTCAGCTCTTCAGCTCAAGGCTAGCGCTCTACCACTTGAGCCACAGCGTCACTTCCGGTTTTCTGAATGGTTTATGGGAGATCAGAGCCTCATGGGCTTTCCTGCCTGGACTGGCTTTGAACCCCGATCCTCAGCTCTCAGCCTCCTGAGTAGCTGGGATGCCAGGCGTGAGCCCCGGGGCTCGGCTGGGCTGTGTGTTTTGTGACAGAGAGGCTTCTCAGAGGGAGAGCCGCCTCACAGGGGGCTCCAAGGGCTCTCTAAGGGACCAGGGGTCTCCTTAGGGTGTGCCAGGCCCAGGCTGGTAGGCTGGTCCCTGACCTATCCCCAGGGAATGTAGGCTGCACCATTTACGGAGGAAGACCTACTCGCCTGAGTCACTCATCAGCCATAGCTCACGGACTTCTCTGCCCCAGCTGGCTGCCACGAAGATTAAGTGGTACTGCTCTCCCCAGACCCCCGTTAGAAACGGGGCATTTCCCGCTCAAGGGATACTTCATATGCACTTATAGAGTTGATACATACAGATATATACACGTCTAGATAAATGTGCGCGTGTGCGTATGTGTCTCTGTGTGCTTGAACTGAGGGCCTGGACCCTGGCTTTAGCTTTTTCATTCAAGGCTAGCTCTCTGCCACTTGAACCACGCCTCCATGTGTAGCTTGTGGTTTTTTTGGTCTGAGACCAGGACTCGAACTCGGTAACTCGGCAACACTTCTCTTGCTCATCAGCTAGCGCCCTACCAACTGAGCCACGCCTCCAACCCCCCCACGGCTCGTGGCTCGTGGCTTGTGAGTGTTCTCACAGACTTTCCTGCCCGGGCTGCCTCTGAACGGTGGCCTTGGGATCTCAGCCTCCTGATGGCGGGGTTCTGTCCTGTGTAGAGCAGGGCTCACTCACTCGCTCCTGCCAGCCCGTGGCAGTCTTACCTTGACGTGGATCTGGAACTCGGTGAAGGCCGTGGTCACCGTCAGGAGGACTCTGTTCAGGTCCAGAGGCACCATCTCCCAGGACAGGTAGGGCATGTTTATGTGAGTGTCTTGGACCAGGGTGAAGGGGCCGGGCAGCTCCAGGCTGAAGGACAGGAGCTTGTCTTCCTCTTTGTAATACACGTCGCTGATGCCGCCCTTCTTCCAGCCCTGACCTTGAGAATGACGGGACGGGGGCATTGCGCTCATCAGAGAGCGCAGGCGTAAAACTGCCCGGGCTTTTCCCGGTGTGTGAGGCGGCCTGCTCTGGGTAGGGCTTTTCTCTCCTGCCGGCACTGGGACTTGAATTTAAGGCCTCAAACGTTCCCTCAGTTGTTGTGGGTTTTTGTGTTTGGTTGGTTCTGGGGCTTGAACTCGCAGCCTGGGCACTGTCCTTGAGCTCTTTGGCTCAAGGCTACTGCTCTACCACGTTGAGCTTCCCCAGGCTGGCTTTGAACCTGGATCCTGACATCTCAGCCTCCTGATTAGCTGGAATTACAGGCTCTGCCGCTTGAGCTACAAAATCCGTTTAAAAACACAACTTGTGTTCATCTCTGTCAAAAGCACATAAGAAGCTGAGCAAAGCAGCTCACGCCTGTAATCCCAGCGACTTGAGCGGCTGAGATGTGAAGATCAAGGTTGGAGGTCAGTGTGTACAAAACGCGATGGAGACACCCCATCTCAACCAGTAAGACGCTAGGTCTAATGGGGTCCACTTTCCATCCCAGCTGCTCGAGAAGAATAAACTGGAGGATGTGATCCAGCCCAGGCCAGAGAAAAAAGTTCCTATTAAAAACAAAACAAAAAGGCAAAGGGTGTGGTTCAGCGTGCAGCGTCTGCCGAGCAAGCAGAAGGTTCTGAGTTCAAAACCCAGTATCTCAAAAAAGAAAAAACAGCAGCAGCGAAAGTTGGCATAAAAAGACGCAAGAAAGAAAAATCCTGGTTTATGTAAGGATTTGCCACCTTGTCTTTTCCTTGCTTTCTTTCCCTTCCTTCCCTCCCCCTTCCTCTCTCCTTCCTTCCTTTTTTTGCCCGATCTGGGGTTTTGAACTCAGGGCCTGGGCGCTGTCCCTGAGCTTCTCTGGCTCAAGGCTGGTGCTCTACCACTTGAGCCACACCGCTACTTCTGGCCTGTTCTCTGTGGTTTATTGGACATAAGCATCCACAGATTTTCCTGCCTGGGCTGGCTTTGAACTGCGATCTTCAGATCTCGGCCTCCTCAGGAGCTAGGCTGACAGGAATGAGCCACCCATGCCCAGCTGCTTGCTTGCTTCTTTCCTTCCTGTTATCCGACCAGTGCGAGGGTTTGAACTCGGGGCCTGGAGCTCAAGGCCTGGGCTCTACATGTACAGCCACAGCTCCACTTCTAACTCGAGTCTCGTGGACTTTCCTGCCCTGGCTGGTTGTGGACCATGATCCTCCCGATCTCAGCCTCCTGGGTAGCGCCAGCTCTGGTGTAATGACACGGGGCTCAGCGCCAGGGTGGAGCGCCACTGTACCTTCGGCGTCCCACCTGACCACCATCGGCTCTTCGAAGAAGATGACGTTCTCGGGGAGCTGCAGGGTGATTTCGATGGGCGGAAAGGCGTTCTCCGGATCCAGCTCTTCCACCGACTCAGGAGGATACGTGAAATTCTGTAATCCTCCTCTGAGCAGCTGTTACAAAGGATCACAACAGCAGCGCGTTAGAAGAGCAGTGGGCACACACACACACACACACACACACACACACACACACACACGGACGGCGCTGGGGAGATAGAGGCCCTTCCCCTGGCTGGTGAGTTGTTCGCAGGAGCGGGCAGGGTCACTGACTCGTTCCTGACCAGACTCGCCCCATCCCATCCCTCCCCCTCCTCCCCAATCAGTCCTCTCTCTCCCCACGACTCCATGGTCACGAGTGGACCCATGAATTCCCATCACGGCCCATCTCCTTCACCC